ATTAAATTTCAGGAGTTGGCATCGTATCCATTATCATTATTGTATTAGCATTTGGCTTATTTTCTCAGAAGAGAGCAGAGGTGAGAAAGGTTTGCTGATGTATCTGGTTACTGCGGAACCAGAGATAAAAGCTGATCTGTTTGCCTGTGAGTTAGTTAATAGATAAGAAGGGCACATATGCTGTAGGGCTGGGCGATATGTCAAAAATGTCTTATCGATAATCGCCTTAAAAAATATCGCGATATCCGATAATATCGTCTACCCAAGCCCCACCTCCACCACGCCCCGCCCCCTGCCGAGACAACATTGCCGGAATGCACCATAAACACACACCAGGTTCAGTTTGGTCTTAATTATTGCCACTTTAAAGTTTGGTTTTACTTTTCTTAGTTTGTGCTTAAACTAACAGAAAACATTAGCTTTGCTGTTATGTTGGTGTTGCTAATAATTTCCACTCTGTTCTTATCAAATTTGTGTTTGAAATGAATTTCGTTTTGTGAGGAGAACTGTTGAGGAAAAATAATAGAACCCAATTTTAAGTTCATCATGGTGAAGTTGGACATTCTGGCGTAAACTTGTAGTCAAGCTATAACGTAGGCTATTTGATATTTATCATACATGACTAAAATCATGCAGGGATTAAAAATGAATTCTGAGCAAAAAGGTTAAGGTTTTTTTTCCCCTTTCTGGTAGCCTAGTTTGGAGGTCTCTTTTGGCCCGTTTTTAACGAAATAAAAAATAACTGCTTTATTTATTTAGAAGCAGGGTAATTTCAATTTAATTTTTGTATTTTAATTTTTATCATTTTTATTTTATGAATCAAAATACAACGGCCACAATATAATATTCAGTGTTGGGCTGCCGAAACTCCGAACACGTGCATGTTGAGGGGCGAGCTGAGATATAGGCCTACTATAATGTCTTCATCCGTTAGCGCAAATGAATTAAGAATTTATAGTGCTATATCTGAGCTTAATTAAACATAATTATACTGTATACACTGTTTAAGAAATCTGTAAAAATAAGGCACTATGTGCGCTGTATAAATAGGCTGTGAAGAAATTTGTGTATTTTAATTATAACTCATGTTTGTGGTTTTTCATCATTATACAGTCTGTTTAAATAAATATTCAGAAACACATGCAGTGCTACTATTTATCTTTTTTTTCTGTTTAACTTTTATTAAACTGCAGATCAAAATATAATAGGCCTATACCCTAAATAAGGATAAATTATATTGGAACGCATCTCCAAAATAATCGCATACACAGATGCACGTTGCCATTACAGTAGTCAGTGCCGAACAACAGGCAAATAAAATATAAACTGAGGTTACAAAAGTGATTCAGTCAAGATCAGTGAGGAATTTTCTTTTCTTTTGTTCTTTGATTAACATTAATGACTGGCGGCATCGGCTGCTGTCAATGCACGGATCCAATACACCCTTGTTTTTTTTCTCAGCTCTTTGCGTTCACTTAAGACATAACCGATTGTATTTAAGGGATATTTTGATATAATTCTGTGTATTTGTTCATTCGAATATGTAAGAATGTGAGAAAGAGAGCACAGTCCAGTGTTCGCGTATATAAGAGGCGGTTTTTGTGCGTGCGCTTTGTGTGTGTGCAGCACAGAAAACAGCGCGCGAGTGCAGAAGTGAGTTCTATTTCATCTTCTTGCAGTTGAATCTTTTGAAATCACAATAAATGCGCATACAGGAATCGAGAAGTAGAATCGAAATTAAATTTTATCGGAAGTAATTCGATTCCTGACCTTACGCATCTAATCTGATTTCCAAAATTGGAATAGCTTTTCGATTCCCAACCCTCCTACTAAATAGTTTATTTCTTGCATGCAAAAAGACCTGTATGGTGACTATGGGGCTATGTAAAATATTTTTTGCAACATACTAGGTTTATCATTTGCCATTTTTTTCCAATAATGTCGATAATCGTCTGTTTACCTGACTGTTGACATCGACATCGCGATACTTACGAGACATCGTCCGTATACGATAATATCGTCATATCGCCCAGCCCTAATATGCGGTCTCTTTTACGCCCACATACTCTACGTTCAAAAGTTTTAAAGTGTTGTTTTTGAACCGAATTGAGGCTTATTTTCACAAAGGCAACATTTCAGCAATAAAAAGTGTCCGAATCATTACTAATTATTGAATTTGCTGTTTTATAATTCAGTCTTTTAACTTTGGAAGACCCATTTTCAGCTGCCAAGAATTCTATTTCAGCCTGCTAAGAAAATATGCTGACATTCTATCTCTCCTCTTTAAAGAAATGATAACTGTAAACATGGATATCTTGGGTTTTCTAAAAATCTTTCATTCTCTCTCTCTCTCTCTCTCTCTCTCTCTCTATATATATATATATATATATATGCAGTAGGGCTTCACAATTAATCAAATTTCTAATCGCGATTACAATTACGGATGCCACAATTACGTAATCGTTCAAAGCGGCAATTAGTCGTTCAAAGTCAACTTATGTTATTCTGCGTGCTTAAGATGTTTCTTTCTTTGTACGAGTTATCTTAAGGGTTTTTCAAGTATTTCAATTTTAGTTTTAGTATAACATTATAATACCAGGTAGCCTATATTTTCACTTTTTTATTTAAAAAAGAAACCAATCCAATGTTTAGTTCACATTTGAGGCTTAATACTATTAAAAAAAAACAATACAAGTTTTTCAGTTAGAGTCAGTGTTTTCATCTTGTTTATTTTCATCTAAAAATATGGCATGCGGTTGCTTCAAACAATGGTATAAACATCATTCAATGTAAATTGTGATAATCGTAATTAATAATCACAATTACAATTTTAAGGCAATAATCGACAGTTATGATTTTTGTCATAATTGTGCAGCCCTAATATGAAGTAGTAGCCTCCACTTGCAAGGGTTTCCTTGTCTAATTTGTCTGTTTTATGTAGTTTAACCTACAGTGTGATATCTGTTTAAGCTGTGTTTACTCCTTTAACCAAACCCTCAATTATTTACATCACATGATTGAGAAGAGTACAAGCACCTGTGTTTTTATTTTGAGAAGCGGGGTGCTAAAAATGACGCTTGTGGTTTGCCAAGACAAGCGTGCATGAGGTTCCAAAGTTAAACGCATCACTTCCCTTACTCTCTCACGTGCTTATGCTTGCCCACTCACTCACACTTGTTTATTCTTCCTGTGTTTTATCAGCAAGAGCGAATGCATAATCTCCATTAAAGTCGCAATTAATGAGTCGTTTTCCAATTTCTTTTTGCCTCAGACCAGAAGACAGACTAGCAGAGCTGCAACCCCCTGTATGCTGCAGGAGACCTCTTCCTTTGTCCTGCGTTATCAGCCATTGATTAGATTATCTACAGACTCGGTGAGAAGGGAAATAAGATGACCTCTGTTTACAGAGAGGAGACTCAGAGCACTGCCTTCCTTAAAGTTTGGCCTCAAAATGTGGTCTAGGGGCCCAAAATCATGTCGTACGCAAGTACATGAATGCTTCCAAGCTTTTGCACCGAAAGTAGCACTGTAGTGGGCATTAGCATGAACTGCCTCCTCCTATAGTCACTTTTTTTTTTTTCAGGTCAACTGCTGTTGGAGCAAGAGCTTGAAGAGAACCTTGCTGAGCAAGTTAGTTAATGTCAGTTAAACTGTCAACATGTCCATACCTAACTACCTGAATACCACGACAGTATGCAAGTATGCACAACAACAGTGCATTGGCCAAGCATATGCGTATAACTGTGTTTTCAGCATTTTCTCATTCTGATTTGACCTCTCCATCATGGTTCTTTTCTACTCTCATTGCACTGCACCCCAGTCAATAGTGTTTACACTTCATTCCTCAATCTAAGGCTGAATCCCCTTTGTTTCTCTCTCTCTCTCTCTCTCTCTCTCTCTCTCTCTCTCTCTACTGTCGTTTGGGATTAGTGGTACTTAATGGGTTGCAGATGCCTGCTGCTAGTACAGTTGTTAGTGCATTTGGGAAATGAATGACCCTGTCTGCATTAATGTGGAGAAAGAATGTCACCGTCAGCATTCTAGAATGGCAGCACATCAATGACACCGAATAGACTGGTTGCAGAAAGCCAGAGAATCTATAGGTGTCCTCACTGAACTCTTACGTATAGCTTTTATAAGATACATGTTGCAATTTTCCCGCCAGGTATGCAGGGCACGTCTTTCGCAGAATGGAATAAGCACTCGCGTAATACACATGATTTAAGCGCTGGGGTTGTGTAAAAGTAGGCCACAGAAAAGTGGCCTTTTTTCCACAAAGTGCCACTGTATTAATTCATCACTGGCGGTTGCTGGAGCAAGCATAATAATGATTAATGATCAGGCTTGCGCTCACTGTTTAAACTGCTGATAAGAGCTCAGCTTGACCGGAAAGGAACTTTGACATGAACGCTTGGATACCCACATGTGCAGGGAGGTGCATTCCATCCAAAAACCCGGACACTGTTGTGATTGGGCAGGTCAGGCTCCCCTGGATAGAATATGAGAGAGGTTTTTTGGGTAGGTCAGAGAATCAAGGGATATGATGTAGTGTCGTTTTCCATGACTGGTCATGTTGAACCAGTTGCAACTTGCACCTAGCTTTTGCTGTTTCTTTATCTTATAGGTGTCTTTTGTGTGTGGTCCATACAGGGATTAGGCACAGGATAAGAGGACCACTTTGTGTTTAATCTGGACAAGTCTAGTCCCCTCCTGTGGTTTATGCTTTGTCTATAGAGGCTCATTCGGAGGTCTGGCAGGAATCTGGGGTCGGGTTACGTTATTTAAGGTTGAGTAGACCCCTCTAGTTCCCTCATGAGCCATAGTGGTTTAACATAAAGCCATGGCATTTGATTTAAAGCACATCTGTAATACTTACCCCTCAGTGTATCAGTTGAGAAATGATTAACATGCAATAAACGGCTGTTAAGTATGGTTTCCATCTCATTTAAGTAAAATGAGTGGCTAAAAGGTTTATATTTTTTCTGTTCTTGTCCTTGCAGGATCGGAAGCTTTCGAGATCAGAGCGCCAGCGCTTCAAGGAAGAGGCTGGCATGTTGAAAGGTCTGCAGCACCCAAACATTGTGCGTTTTTACGACTCATGGGAGTCGCCCTCCAAAGGCCGCAAGTGCATTGTGCTGGTCACAGAGCTCATGACGTCAGGAACCCTAAAAACGTGAGTAAAAATCATCTGGTCCACTTTCATATTATATTGTCTGTCCATCATAATATTCCCTAATGAATGGTTAAATGCAGAATTCAGCAAAAGTGTGTGTTTGTTAGCATTATGGTATTATGTAAATGATTGTTAACATTTACATAAAGTGTTACCCAGGTTTTTTGTTGTCACATTTTTTCCAATTCACAGCATCCGCTGCAGTTAATATTGCATTGTAATACAGCATTCAAATGCAACAAGATGGCCTTTCAAACATGCTTTTCACCAGCCTCATGTCCATCACCATCAGCAGACCATCCACAGAGGCTGTGATTATCTGTTACAAAACAGTCACAATAGAGTGATTGAGTTAGAACTGTTATCAGAGTGATCGCAGGGGAAGAGTGGCATGTCACCTTCATGTGAGACATGCATTGTGGGTACTGAACAAATGCTGGAGCTATAGTGAGACAAACCACAAACTGGACCAGCAGCCCCCTCCTGTGGATGTGTGGGCTCTGACACACACACAGTCATATATATGCACCCACTTAAATACTAGTACCTGACTGTGGTACCTGCAGATTCTTGCTTTTTCCACCTCCCAAAGCAGTTCATAGAAACGTAGCATATAGACTTATTAGATTTTCATGAAAGAAAAAAAATAACTGGTGACTCATGCACATGAAGACGTCACCGAGAAAACCAATAAATGTTGCAGGCATATTGTTTATTGAATAAAACTCGGTTGGCCCTTTAAAATAAGAACATTAAAATATGAAGAATAGAAAAGAAGAATATTAAAATTTGTGGTTGTAATCATTTGTTTATCTAGTTTCCAGAACACATAAAAAGGAGTCCCACAAAGATCCATCATCCTCAGAGCCTCAGTCACACACAATTAGTTATCTGTCACATAGCTCACAACAACAGGAACACCACCATTACTGCCAGGAGAGAAAGACAGTTGGAGGAGACATGGGGAGATGAGTGAAAAAGAAAAATTAGAAACAATGTCAGGCTTGCTTTGTGTTCGTCAGCCCTGGCATCCCAGCAGTGTGTGGCGTTCTGCATGGCTGCTCCTCCACCGCAAAGATAAACAGTGATCAAGAGGTCAGGTAGAAACGGAGCATCCTACAGACACAGCCATGACTAACCTCATCTTTGTTCTCGTATTTGTCTGGGTCACCAAAGACATATTTTAACTGCCCAGGAGGGTTTTGTCCCTCACCCCGCCCCTGTATGCTCACATAAAAGACCTTTTAAATCTTTCTAGTCCAACATTTTTGAAAAGAAACATACTGTTCACATGTACATAAACACAGATTATTCAAACTGCTGCTCCATGACAGTAGTTGATCTGAAAGAGAAATCTGACAATCAAAATGTATAATATTTTCTTGAATGTTTCAGGTCTTTGACTGTTTATATAGTTGAGGACAGAATGTTTTAAATTACTTTAATATTTTGAGAAGTGCGGAAAGAGTTGTTGGTGTAGCTGGAGAACAGCCTGTTGGGGCCCTCTGGGAGCCACTGGGTGTGTTGAGTGATGAGACAGGTTTGAATCAGGCTTTGTTGCTCTCTTCCGTATCGCTTCGGGACTTACCCTTGGCTCCGTTCCCACCTGTCAGTCAGCCGCTGCACTCCATCAAAGCCCGTCCTGTGCCAACACCCACCTCCTGCCATTGGGCGAAGCACTACTTATTGCTCGCTTCAGTCTTACTAAGCAAACTATAGAGATAATCTTTTTACACAAAAACGCTCTGATCTGATGTTATTCGACCATTTTTCTTTTACTATGAAAAGAGGGAAAGGAAGAGGAAAGGATTCAATTTCTGAAGCACAATAACAGTTATCCATAAACGGATGTTTCTTCAGACAGTTCAGTTATCTGATTCTTACTGACAGACAGGTTGGAGCGGAAACGGTGTGTCAGATTAAAATAAAGTCTCGTTCCGTAACAAATTAGTCAATTGTGCTGCTGTATATGTTATGTTTTGCTTGTGAGCTTGTGCCCATCTTCGCCAGGGCATTATGGGATAAAGGGTACCCAGCTCCCTGTGTATTGGTGCCTAAACTGAGTAGATTGTTGTAATGAGGATTACAAGGCCAAATCCTGGCTATGGCTTGGCTCCAAGATTTGATTAGGCCAAGCTAATCTAACAAGTGCTGTACCGCCGCCTTCACATGCTGTTGTCCTCTCTTCTATCTGGGACTCATCTGAGAGAATGCAACTGTTCATAAGGATGCTTCAAAGACCCAGACCCATCATCATGTAATCATGTAATTCTCCCTGATCCTCATATGGACTGAAATGAGATCTTGAGTAGAGAGTTTTCTCATTATTTTTCGTTCTCCTCATGGTTTCATTGGTTGAAACTGTCTATCCAAGACGGGACCGCCAAACCAGAGATCTGTAGACATGTATCATCTTCCATTGATACATCTGTTGCTTGTTTTTACTCCGTCAACAGGTCCAGTGAAGAAGAACATAGCGATAATTCTCAACTCTAATGTCTTTGTTCCTCAGGTATCTGAAGCGCTTCAAGGTGATGAAGATAAAGGTGTTACGGAGCTGGTGCCGGCAAATCCTGAAGGGCCTGCACTTCCTCCACACCAGGGCTCCACCCATCATTCACCGGGACCTTAAGTGCGACAACATCTTCATCACCGGCCCTACCGGCTCCGTTAAGATCGGTGATCTGGGCTTGGCCACCCTCAAGCGCTCTTCATTCGCTAAGAGTGTCATAGGTATGACCCAGCACTAAAACTTTCTTGCTTTCCCCACCTCCCAAGTCAGTTCACCATGGCGTATACAATCCAAAATATGTATCACATCACTGTTTTGTCATTTCAATGATGAGGTGAAGTTGGGAAGGTGGGGCATTTGCTGTCAGTTATGCTCAGATATTTAAGGCATGCTGTAGCTCTAAACTCTACACTGTTCACGTTAGACCACAGTTTTTCCAGGCAGCCAAGGGCACAAGTTTTAATTTGGGGTGGAGATGGGGGAAATCCAGAGGAGAACTTCTTATAAACTGGGGGAACACCTTTAGATCCTGCTGTTTCCCACCTGAAACTAATTGGCCTGTAAATGCAACTGGTGAAAACACTCTGTTTCCATAAACTTTGGGGTATTTCGGGTAATATATGCCTTAAGAATACCAATAAAGCCACATGGTGGATAACGCTTTGTTAGTAAGTGTGCTACGGGAACTTTGCGCATGAATATTAACAGATTAAACACTTTGCTCTGGAACCTGTGGTCTATAATTATTAAAATCCTAGAAATTCTCCTGCTGCCAGTAATGTCTGACATCTTTTTCCAAAGGTTTTCCTGATTGCCTCATCAGTTTTTCCCCTTTTCCTTTTCAGATGGTTTAGATATTGTGATCAATTTCTTTTTGGATCCCTTCTCTGTTTCCTCTGAAATTTACTTGTTTCCATTTTTTTTTTTTGTTCTGGTTTTTGAGAATTTTTTCCTTTAAACTGTAGGGCTATAATCTCAGCTGGTCTCACTCCACTGTATGGGTTATTTAATGTCCTGCAGTTCAGACAGTAAGTATGCTAAAAAAAATGGCGAGTAAGTGGTAAGTCAACAAAGCAACCTAATCCAAAAACGGAAATATTTCAAATATAAATCTATATTTTAGCTCGTTTTTCTGTGCGAGGCCTTTTAACACGCACTAGTGCACGAGAGTCTTGACTCACTAGCTATGGGCTTGCTCTGTGCTTTAACCTGCTTAACCTTCTCTCCTTACAGGCTAGTAGAAAGGTGAGTCGGTCATGTGTTTTCCATAACTGTGCTGTTGACATAGATCAAGTTCCATAGCTAGTCGCCCACCGCTGTCCGGTACCTCATTTAACGTGTTGGCGGCACGGCCGTGTTGTAAAGATAAACACAGTTTCGAAGCCCATCAGTCAGCTCTAAAAGTAACCTGCACCAGCGCATGTGTGTCTGGCTTAAATCAACTTCCTGTTTGCGAGATGATGCTTGGCTGCTTTGTGCCCTAGTCTGAAGTACTGAAATAGATCATCTGAAGGCCTTGCAGAGAAAAACTGGATTCTTTCACTACTAAATAACTGAGGCCGGTTTTCCCCCTTCCTCTTTCTTTTTATTTTTATTTTTCCTTTTCTCCATATCTTTTGCTCCCCCTCTTTCTCTGGTCTCAGGCCCGTGCAGAGCAACAGTGCAGTTCTTCTCCTCCTCCTCCTCTCTCCCTTCCTCTCCCCGGCCCTGCTGGGGTGAGTAGAGATCTCAGGCACTGAGAGTTCTGAATGGTTCTTTTGATTTAAGGTACCCCTGAGTTCATGGCGCCTGAGATGTATGAGGAAAAATACGACGAGTCGGTGGATGTGTACGCCTTCGGAATGTGCATGCTGGAGATGGCTACCTCTGAGTACCCATACTCCGAGTGTCAGAACCCCGCTCAAATCTATCGCCGAGTCACCAGCGTGAGTAACCACGCACACCTCTGCTCGCTCTCTGTCCTTCATTCACTTTGGGTGCCTCTTTCTCTCTCCTTCTGCTATAATCTTCGCCAGCTCTGTCATTACACCCACACATTCCTTAGGCTTCTGCTTATGAAATAATACAGTAAAAGAAGCTTGTTCTGTTATGCGCTCATAAACCTGCCCACAGCTGGAGGCGTCACACTGTATATGAGATTATGTAAGCAGCATACAAATGTCATTCAAATGACTAGGAGTAGGTGGTATGACCAAAATCTTACATTTATGTCATATTAACAGTATATATCACAATAGACATTACTGTTCAAAAGTTTGGGGTTGATGAGATTTTTTTATGTTTTTGAAAGGAGTCTCCTATTCTCACCATGGCTGCATTTATTTGATCAAAAATATAATAAAAACGGTAATATTTGTGAAATATTATTACAATTTAAAGTAACTGTTTTCTATTGTAATATATTTTAAAATGTAATTTATTCCTGTGATAAAAAAGCTGAATTTTCAGCATAATTTCTCCAGTCTTCAGTGTCACGTGATCCTGTTTCAGAAATCATTCTAATATGCTGATTTGGTGCTCAAGAAACATTTCTTCTTATTGTTGAAATAAAATTCAATAGAATTAAATATAATTATTTGAAACAGATCTCCTTTTTAACATTATAAATGTTTATGGTCAGTTTTGATGAATTTAATGCATCCTTGCTGAATACAAGTATTCATTTCTTTAAAAAATTATATTTTAATATTTATATGGTAATACCTATTCCTCGAAAAGCAATTGAATTTATTTTTTAGAATCAAAAGGTACATCATCTAAATTTATCATTTTTTTTGTTTTGTATTTATTTGTATTTTTTGATGGAAATGAACAAGATTATTAACAATGAACAAATGAAAAAGTCTGGCATCAGTTCAAAATAAAAGTTATAAACAAAAGACTCAAAACTGTACATCTAACATAGTAAAACTGATTGATGGGACTCTTAAGTTCTGATTGGACGAGCCACTTTCAAAGCTATTGTAAAAAACACCTTAAGATTCCTCATTTTGACCAGTTTACTGGTAGTCATACGGTCCAACCTTATCTCAGACCCACCCAATAAGAAGTAATTGTCCAAAATTAAAACAGTTGGACATCTGGATGTAAAAGGTATTTTTTCCTGCCAGTCGCAATAAAATTTCGCTTTGATTAAATCAGTTTTACAGCCGTCACTGATATCAGCTTGTGGTGTGTCATGTGTTGACTTTCCATGAAGTCAGTCTCTAGCTCGAACAATTGCTCTCCCCAGCTTTAATGTAGCTTCGTGTTTGACTGACGTGGTCTCGTTTGAACTCAAAATATTCCACAATATATATTTTTTTTCCAGTTTCTCTGGATTTATTTATTTCAGACCTCTTTTAAGCCATTGTGATGTAATCATGCTTGAAGGTGATTAAAATGGTAATCACCATCTATTTATGGACATACATTGTCAGAACAATCGAGGTGAATTTCCCTGATAGTACAGCTATATATGAATCCAAGACCATTGTTAGAAGGCTGGAAAAGGCCAGTCATGTTATTTATAAATAGTTTATAAATTGAATCAGTCTTTCCCTTCATTGATGTCCTTTAAAATCATTGGTAGAGAAGAGGAGGGGGAGTATAAGTCAGTCATGAGCTTTTTTATTCTCGTTCAGGTCAATAGGCTGATCATATGATGCTGGAGGTTGAAAATATGATCAGCAGAGGCAGAAAACAACTGGCTGAGGATTGTGGTAAGCCTGTGAGGGGCTCACCAGTAGGGAGCAGTACTGATTCTCCATTCTGAATCCTCTCTATTTGCCTGAATGTTTTTGTTAATACAAATTTTTTTTTGCTGTTTTGATTACCAAAAGTGTACATTATTACTGTATAATAAGTTTAGAGCTGCTCTGGTCATTGAAAAAGTTAATGTAGAAGGTTCTAGACTGCTTTTATTAGTGGTACGTACAGCAAAGTTTGTCTGTTTCTTTTCATTAGCGCTCTTGAGTCAGGTGTAGAGGTGTTTCCCTTTCCACCTGTTAGCTTTGGAAAGTGCAGAGCACATCCTAGATTTCACCAGCTCTATCCGCCTGTCTGGAAAACTGGCATCCACCCTGCCTGAAGGCTTTTTAATCTCATGAAATCAAATTTCACATGCACAACATTTCACCGAGAGAAGCAATTTAAGCTTTACGCAATCAGGAAGCATTTTAAGCTCAGTGGACCCGAGGTTGCCCTCACAGACAGATGTGGGACTTGTCCCATCTCGGCCCCAGAGTAAACGCTTTCATTACGATGAAACGGTTCAGATTTGTTCGTTCCATCGAAACATCTGCAAATGCTGCCTGTAATCTCAAAGCAGCGAGCATGGAGCGGTTTCAGCCTGACCGTTTCACTGAAGTGTTCATGGAATTGGAGCCACACGGGTCTGACTGCATTGCAGATCTTCCCTTTTATTATTGGGGTGATTAAACTAAAGCAAAGGCTTTAGAGGTGGAGCCGAAATGAATAGCACTGCAGCTGGACAGAGTGTTCCAATTTATTGACTGGAAAATTGGTCTGTTGGCAGCAATGACATCAGATTTGTGGTGTAAAATCATGCGACTATTATTTGTGAATGTGCTGTTGCCAAGTATTACGCTTCAGAATGTAAATTAACATGCACAATTTGTGCTACAGACATGAATGATACCTTAAAATTGTGCAGCTTGTTGAGGAGACACTTACCAGATAAATGATAAAGAACTCCAAAAAAAAACAAAAAAAGCCCTTGATCCTATTTTGTACTTGAATATTTACCAAAATATCACACAGAATTGGATTAAGCATGAAAAAAAAAGGTAAAAGTCTAGTTTGGATGTAATGTCTCAGTCATTTGGCTGTATCTTCCAACCCTTGAATGTAATTTCAAGATGTGGCATCAAAGGAGTTCAACCAGAAAATAGTACTCTTCAGTATGCTTATGCACCATAACACTTTGTCGCTTGGGGAGTTGAATAGAGTATAAGTAGAAGATTGCTTTTGTTCCTTTTCTCTGCCCCCAGCTGTTCCAGGAGCCTTCCTCTCTCGCTCTGCTTTGTTAAATACAAAATGATTGCTTCTCATTTTTCGCCTTTGTTAACCGGTAGGAGAGCTGGGGAACAGCATGTATCTGGCTTTAGGGGACCCATTCACAGCGTCCATAACAAGCTTTTTAAATCACCTTGTTATCGGAATACTTCGCCGTTCTGCCTTAATTCTGTTAGATACTCCGTCATCCTTAACTTTGTTTGGCACTGGAATTTGAGGGGGGTTACAGACTTATATAAAGAGGTAATGCTGAGACAGGGGGAGTAATAGTTCAGGCAGACCACTCTGTAAAGCAACACAGTGTTCCTGGATTTCATTTGTAAGTTTCTTGCACTCTTTTTGTCTTGGGTGGTTTTGACAGCCTAGCTCTATGTAGGCATTTTGTGATGTTAAATGATTTTAAAAGGGTCATTTTAGAATTGTAAAGATATATAGTGGGAAAAGTAGCAGAATATTATTGTTTAATTGTTGTTGGAGTTTGTTGTTTCCAGTGCTAATTCTGATGGCTGGGAATGAGATTAGATGTTGCTAGAAATCCATACGGATTTGTAGAGATGAAGTGAAATATAATTAATAAATTGACCCCTGGGCCCTAAGGTGACCAAAGTTTTGCCTGTATTTTTAAGAATGAAGTAAATGACACATTTTAACAATATTTGATTGTAAAATTAGCTTTTTGTAGAGCAGAATTCTTATTAGTACTCTGTATACCCTCATCTTCAATTAGATATTAAATTGAATTATAATCTATATAGGGATTCTGTGTTAGTGTTTATATGTTTATCTTAATTCAGGGTTTTTTAAATTAAGAAATGTAATAAAAATAATAATAATAAATACTGTAAATATTATTTGCATAAATATGTAATCATTGTACTAAAGCCAAAATGAATCTTTAAAATATTTTTTTGGAAAATATATTATTAATAAAAAAAAATAAAGTCCTTTAGTCCTTTTCGCTTTTCTTCCTCCGAAAACTTCTGGCTTAATGGATTTAAGTGTTCCTGATGACTGAGAAGGTAACTCTGTTCAGCAAAATGAATGAATCTGCCAGTTAAGCAGCTATATCTTGAATGTTGTGGGTTTCATTATAATGCAAGCCACATTTACACTTATGCCATCAAAAAACACTTATTAGTAGTGCTTGCTATGGCAGACATCACTGTTGCTCATACTTGCGGTTAGGAATCTGAATAAACTCTGAACCCTAAGTATGAAACTTTAGCTTGTCTTCTGCCATCTCAGATTGTGTGATTTGTCTAGAAATTGTTCCAATGATTTTCACCTGGCAGACACTAAAGCGCATAAAGCATGCACCATATGTAGTTTTGTTAAGTCCCTGTGGAGCTCTAAAAGGATTTCTTTCACAGCACAAAAGACATGTTGATTTAATGTTCTTTTGTGTTTCAACCCTGCAGGGAGTTAAACCTGGCAGTTTCGACAAGGTAGCCATTCCAGAGGTGAAAGAGATCATCGAGGGATGTATTCGCCAATACAAAGATGAAAGGTAAGGCTGTGCCTACTACACACACCCACGCTGCGTTCACAGAACTCATTCATCTAGTCATACCTCAGTTCTCAGCGACGTGTGCCTGCCCACAGATGCACTGAACTCGTGCTGATGTGAGTGTATATTGCAATCTCTAGGCGTATGGTCCTCCATGTGGAATGTGAATAGTAGCAGTAGATAAGTCCCTCACGCTGTTTTGGAAAAGTTCCAGCATCAAGCCACTTAGTGAAATGGATCTGAGATCATGCCAAGCCAGCGAAGAGTGCACTGTGTCCTCATGCCACAGAAAAACATAAGCCCTGACCGGACCGTCTCCTGTTCGAGTCTGTCTACCTAAATGTCCAAGCCAAAAAAACTTAATTTTTATTTGCATTTGAATGTTTTTTAATGACCTTGATCACTAGCTGAAGTATTTTTGCCAATAATTTGTGGAAAGTCATAAAGCTGACGCTTCAGTGCATAAAAAAATTGAATAGAAAATCACAAACAGCGTGTCGAGCGTAAGGTGAGACGACATCTGATGTTCCGCTGATGAAGCACTGGAAAAGCTGATGTCTACTATATACAGCTAATCAAGAGCCCACTTGAGATTTTTTTTCTCTCCTGAATGTGAAAGGTCTGACTTGGTGCAATCTTATCTTTTACCCTTATATCCATAATTCCATGCAGGTGACATGAATCAGCTCTTTTTAAATGTGCCGTGATTGGTCAATCCCTGTACATACATCCTTAGTGGTTTAATTTGTTAGTATGTGCACATTTGATTTAGAGTTAATGTTAAACATTTATAGATTTCCTCATATGTCTCCTGTTGATGGGTTGTGAATGGAGAGTGAGTTTGTTCCATAGAATCAAATGCAACAGGATAGAATGTTGGGTAGAATATTTATCGCTACACAACCAGGAATGGTGAAATTTGTTTTCATGACATTCATGCGACATCACCATAGAATGGTGCCAAGTCATCAAACTTCACTTATGTCTGGAGAGTTCTGAAACCCAATAAAGATCAATTTGATCATGAGGCGCTCAAATTCAAGTCAGGTCCTCTTTAAAGTTTATTTTGCTTGAATCATTCAGTTACTCTTTTATTACTCCATCCTGGACAACCCCAAAGTTCCACCTTGTGCTTCTGAATTAGATAATAAATGTGATTTGGTTGATCTTTGTTAGCTATGTGCTTCTAAATGTATTTATTTTATTGATTGGCTATCCTTATTTAACGTCTTTTGCCTTGTTTGCTTGTCATTTTGCCTCTTCCTTAACAGATACGCCATCAAGGACCTTCTGAACCATGCCTTCTTCCAGGAGGAGACTGGGGTGCGGGTGGAGCTGGCTGAGGAGGATGATGGGGAGGTGATTGCCATCAAACTCTGGTTACGTATTGAAGACGTCAAGAAACTGAAAGGCAAATACAAAGACAACGAAGCCATCGAGTTTTCCTTCGACCTCCATCGAGATGTGCCAGAAGATGTGGCTCAGGAAATGGTGGGTTTATCAATGACTCTCCAAATCAGATATAGCACATGTACAGTACATGGTAACATATGCTGTGTTTAAATACAGGTTGAGTCGGGCTATGTTTGCGAGGGTGACCACAAAACCATGGCCAAGGCCATCAGGGACCGTGTGTCCCTGATCTGCCGCAAACGAGAGCAAAGACAGCAGGTGCGAGCCAAGCAAGAGAAACGCAAGCAGGAGGAGGAGCAAAAGCAGTTGTCCAGCGAGTCTTTGAAGAACGTGCCCGGCTCTCAAGGTTCTGCACAGAGTCAGTGCGGTTCCCAACCTCCGACCCCTGGCCTCGTCCAGCCTGAGTGGGAGGAGCCTGACGCAGACCAGCAGCTTCAGTACATGCAAAGTGGAATTACCTGTAAGTGTTGGATGCAACCTATCAGTCGATCAACCTACCTGAAAACTTTTTCATTCGTTTAACTCTTTTGAAGAGATTTTTAACAAAGTTAAGCCAAATACAGTTTTAGAGTTTTTACTTAAAATATATTGTAAAAACCTGATATAATTTAGCCATCAATTTTTCTCCCCATGAAAATAGCCACAGAAGCTGGCATGGCACAAACAAATAAAACAAACTATCAACCTACCTGTCATTTGCTATTTAATTTTGAATGTCGTATATTTTCCCAGTGGCTGACGGGGCGCTTGACAGTGGTCAGGGTTCATCCGTGTTCTCAGAACCTCACCCCAGCCAGCTCAGCATGTCGTATAGTTCTCCTGCAGCGTCGCAACCCCAGCAGGTGCCTGGACAGGCCGCCTACCCTCCCAGCTCTCAAGCTCCTCAACAGCACACCGCATACCCCCAGCAGACCATGGTAAGTCACAGAAGAAGAACTTGGGCTAAGTCAAGATCTCAACACCTAATTGCAGGTTCAGTGTAGCAGGTCACATAGTTGCATCTTTGATCTGTTTTTTACAGCTGCTGGCTATTGACAAATTCCACACTTATTATGTTACAGCATTTTCTAGCCAAAATGATGATCAGTGCACCACACCAAACTTCTCAAAAGATTTGCGATGGAAAACAAGAAATTGAGTTAAATGAGCTCAGGAAAACATGTTTCTATATTGTAGTGTGCACTTGACATTATTATTGACAGGTTAATTCAGCAAATCATGTGGCCACATGTTTATCTTCAGTTAGAATCTATTTAGTTCTAATGTCTCCATCTGTTCCCATAATATTTCATGTTGTGCAAAGGTAAGAACCCAGTGAAGCAACACAGATGTGATCTGTACATAGAATTTGTATAGCCTGAAATGAATAACTACTGAATCATGAATCAATGTTCAGTTGTTGTTTAACTTTTGAATATGATCTCTTTGTGGTTGCATGTATTTAGCTTTGGAGTTTGATGATGGTTTGTTATTATAAGACACTAAATGAATGATGCATGAGAAAGGAAAGCAAAGCCACAACGTCTACATTCTAAATGGGTTTGATTCTTTTCATATGGCCTGCTCTCAGTAGGGTTGGGTATCGAAAAACCGTTTCCAGTTTAAAATCGGTTCCAAATATCCAAGAACTGGGTATTCGATAAGACACGTGCATTTCGATTCCACGTAATGATTCCTGCGTTCGCATTTTAGTGTGATTTTTAAACCATTTAATCGCAGGAAGGGAAAGAACTTGCGCACTGTTTTGCGTGCCGCGAGCACGGAGAACCATGGTGACTTTAATGAGGATTGATCTATATCAGGGGTGCCCAAACTCGGTCCTGGAGGGCCGGTGTCCTGCAGAGTTTAGCTCCAACCCTAATCAAACACCTGAAGCAGCTAATCAAGCTCTTATTAGGCATACTAGAAACTTCTAGGCAGGTGTGTTGAGGCAAGCTGGAGCTAAACTCTGCAGGACACCGGCCCTCCAGGACCGAGTTTGGGCACCCCTGATCTATATTTTATTTATGAAAAGAAAACTATGCAGTATTGTTAAACTTTTGATTAAAATTTTTGTACTTTAAATTTGTTCAGTTGTATTTATTTATGCTGTTGCTAATTGATTTGTTTGTCTTTAACAATGTTTGAAATTAATATTAGTCCAGTTGTTTTCACTGTGGTATTTTTGTTAAAACCATAGGCAAAAGTTCCTCTTGTAGGCCTAGTGTTCTGTAGGCTGCTGATTTTTGCTTGTTATTTAGCTGCAACAGAACGCTTTGTAAAAAGACAGAATAAATATGTTTAACATCTAAATGTTAACTTAATTTTTTTTATTGGATTTTTTTTATCTTATTGGAATAAGAATCGATAAAATTCAAACGATATCCAACCCTAGCTCTCAGTTCTTTGTCTCTCTCTCTCTCTCTCTCTGTTTTGGCTTTTTTTTATTTTCTGACTGCCAAGTATATTTCCACTTCCCACTTGTACTTGAGCTGCCTCTCCCTCTTCATCCTCTTTGCATTTTAATACATTCTTTGGGTTCCTTTACCTTCTTTCTTTTTGTTTCATGTCAGTATTTTTGATTCCTCCCAAAAAGGCAGTGCCGTGTAGCAGTGTATTATGCTGTACAGACTGGTGGGCATTCATCACTTCCTGGGTGGTTGTTTTTGCCATCCTGGGCACTTAAACCATGATCATTTAAACACATCAGAGTCACAACATTCATAGAGGACACTTTCTGGATCTTTCTCAGGGACTTTCTCATCTCTTCTCACTCATTAGTTTTGAATTAGTTTGCATCATTTTCCATAGAGCCTGAAACACTTTAGTCATAAGCAAACACCTTGATGTCAAAGACTCTCTCTCTTTATTACTCTGTCTGTAGGTGTGACTTCTAATGATTTACTTTTATAATAATTACCTTTTTTATTAATAAATACCTTCTCACCTGACTTGAAATGGTTGCTTAGTTCCCACTCAAAGTGATATCTGAAGTCTGCACGGCACTGATGACTGTTATTGTACATTTATTTTTGTTCCTCTGTTTTTATACCCAATGTTCTGTTTGTGGTCTTTGTTTTTGCTGTACATATTCTGTATGTACTTCTGTTTATGCTGTTCTTTATCATAAAACATCTCAGAGGGCTGATTTTCTGTGATGTTTTCGTGGACTTTGCTAACCTCAGTTTGTATTCGTTGTCTACATGGTAGACAGTCTGTGCTGTACATTTCTTGGAGTCTGAATACTGCTTAAGCAGTGACATAGTGTCATTTCTTTAGTGATTTTTCTTAGCCGCATATATTTCCCGGTAACAACATGCAACCTGATCAATCTCAGATCAGACAAGTATTACTTTAATCTCAAAATTAGCTCAAAATTCATGATTAATCAGGTATTGATATTGTCACATGCAGTCATATCATAGCATAAATGTCTCTGTTACTGATAACACGTTAGTCATTGTAAAACTATTTTTGTTTATGAAACATCATGAATCATCAGTTGGACCAGGCTCATTCTTTTGGTCTGACTTGACAGCCGATGTTAGATTTAATCAACATGTAACCTTTGTAGGTCAAGGTTTATTGTAGATCAATGTCTTTTCTCTTTCTGTGTAGCATCTTAGAATGCAATGTTGATATTTAATCTTGTATCAAATTTTTCCTTGTAGTTTTCTTTTGGTTATTTGGCTTTTTGTGTATTCCATTTGTGTTCCATTGTGGTTAATAGTCAATTCCCCTCCTTCACCTCCAGCCTCCTCCACCTCTTCCCCATCGTCGTGGTCGTAGCATGTCTGTCTGCGTGCCCTGCTTTTCTACCACCTCTGCCCTGTCGTGCCCTCCCAAGCCACCTTCAACCCCTCCTCCAGTCACATCAGCCCCACTCTCACCCCGGTTGGGGAGGTCAGATGGGGAGACGTTTGCGGGCCGACTGTCCAAGGCACTGGAGAGTGTCCTGCCCCTTCACTCGGCCCCGCCCCGTCGCCGTGCCAGTCTCCCAGCAATCTTTGCCAGTCCTGTATGTTAGTGTCTCCCAGTGAACCAGGATTCTCCCGCTGTGTTGGACTTGGGTACATCATGGGTATCTGTGAAGAGCACCTTTATGAAAATTAGAAGACAAAACAAGCTTGAAGAGTGCAAATTATAATACAAGTTGATACAATAAAATTGTTTTCAGGACAGATATTTACATCCCTAAAACACCAAAGGTGTGATCTAAAAATAAAATGGCATCCTTCTACATCAGGGGTCCTCAAGATCCACTTTCCTGCAGAGTTTAGCTCCAACCCTAATCAAACACACCTGAACAAGCTAATCAAGGTCTTCAGGATTACTACAAAGTTGCAGGTAGGTGTGTTTAATCCAGGGACCCGTTCTTCGTACGTCGCTAACTCATTTAGCTGGATTTGATTGTTGACGATTTGGCATGATCTTGGATTGTTTGGTTCTTCGAAGCTCATCCCGGAGTTGCTGTCATAGCAACAGGTCCGTGAGCTTAAACCTGCTCGGGAGCAGGCTTATTTCATGTAAACAGGATTAGATTGCATCTTTTTAAGCAGAATCGATACTTAAAATCTCTACCAAAATCGCTACCACCGCTACTTTATTATAAGAGTACCCTACTAATCCAGGGACAATAATTTAAAATAATAATCATTTAAAAATTAATTTAATAAAATAAAAACATTTCATTTATCTGTTATAACATTTATGTCGTTTTGTTCGCTTGGCTGTTTCCCTTATAAAAGTCAGAAAATTTGTCAAGTTTTTCATCAGGTGTCTTTTTTAATTATATAATGTCATTACGTTGCTGTCTTGCTGCCAGCCAATCGCTGCATTGCTGATCGTGGTTTCGAGTATCGATACATAGCCCCTTTTAAACCAACCCATGAACGCACAATTATCTCAGATAACTCAATCCAGCCAGACTAATCATCAACAACAGGTGCGTTCGAAGAACCGAATTAGCCAGATCCTGATTAGCGCGATGATATCATCTTGGATGTGACATTTCATCTCGGATGTAATAACCGACGTACGAAGAACGGGCCCCAGGTTGGAGCTAATCTCTGCAGGAAAGTGGATCTTGAGGTCCAGAGTTCAGAACCCCTGCTCTACATTATTAAGTCAAAATAAGCTATTCGGAATCCAAAAACATTTAATTTAAGCCTAACAATCTCTTAAGTGTTTAGTGGTAACATTAAAACCATTATTGGAAGTAAAAACGTAAACTTTTTCAGTCTGTCTAGTCCCAAGCTGATGTTAGTCCCTTAGTAATGCTAGCAAAAAGTGGTGTGTTATGAATAATGCAATTTCACAAATTAGCCGTTATGTAATGTATCAAGTATAAATAGCTTATTTATATTTTTTCTTGTATGTCAGAGGTTCAGAGTTGCTTTTTTCCCCCTGTTCACTTGAGCCAAAAAACTGATTATATTATTGTTCTGATGGGTTATTAATCTTGAGAATATGAGGGGTTGACCACAGGTCAGTTTTTATGAATATGAAGACATATTAAAATCCTTTTCAGATACCCACATTACACTGGCCCACTCTGCTGGAACCCTGTGCTCACATTAAATACAGATTGGCATGAACTGCAATCATTAAAAATGGTTCCTAGTCCCTACAGCCTGTGAAGCATCTGTATTTAATTGTCAATCTGTCGCTGTCATGTTTTTACACCTCATTTAGCAGTTAAACATCTCTTAACTTATTCTTTTGTCATTGAGACATCTTTGCCTCATAGGATGAATATTATCTGCTGTTTTCACTTATCTTTTTATTTTCCTCTCTTTCTCTTGCTTTGTGAATTATGTGATGTTGCTTTTTCTACTTCCTCACAAAGATGCTGTATGTTATTGTTACTGCAGCCACAATCAGTCAGTCAGCCGTACGGTGGAGGAGGCTCAGGTCTGGTCGAGCCCCAGCTCTTTTTCCCCACCATCCCGGAACGGCCCGTCTCGTTCTCCCCCCCGCCATCTTGTTCGCCTAAAGCTTTCAACGTGCAGCGCCGCAAGAGCACCTCCATCCTGGAAGCCCACACGCGTCACTTCCAGCCCGCCTACCATTGTAGCTACGGCAGCAGCCTGCACCCGTTTTCTGGCATGGAAGCTCTGGGCCCCGGCTGTGAACCATCCCTGTTCATGATGCCCGGGATGGCGGCTCAAAGATTGGCCGAACCACTGCACCTACAGCCCCCAGCAGAACCGCTATACGGATATAAAGACATGAGGGCCGAGCAAGAGGAAGCTGTGCGCAGACTCAGCCTCAACCAGGCTGCATTAATGGACCATCTGGAAGCCATGGCCTACAGTGGCTACCCTATGACTGCACATCAGCTAAGCCACATCAGCTTCCATCAGCAAATGCAGGTCGCCGCTGCAGCTAGCTTGGCCTATGAGACTCAATCACAGCCTGGGCCAGCTTACCTACACCCTCATGTCCAGAGTCACATGCGCGTAACCCACAGCCCGATCCCGCAACTGCCTTCCATGAGTGTGTCTACCTCTGCCTCTGCGCCGCAACAAACCGCAGCTGCAGATCCAAGCTATCAGCCCCATTCGTTTCCCCATTCCGCACCACCCGTGCTGGCTCACACATCTGAGCCGAGCACCACCTTTGAATTCCACATGCACAACCTCCAGGCAGACCCAGCCATGCTGGCATCCAGACTGTACCGAGCCCGCCGGGGCTCCATGGACCTTAACCTGGAGGAAGCGTCTGGCAGCCAGGGCTTGTGTGGTCGATTGCAGCCCGTTACTGAAGAACTGTATAGCTACGTGAGCCCGGAGCTGCCCCTTCCCCCGGGCAGTCTGCTTCTCCATGGACCTAAAGAACTCAGTCCTGAACCTTCAAGTGACTCCATGACCTCCTCCGATGCTGGGGAGTTCCACTCGCCTCCACCTCATCCTTTGTTCCAATCTCAAGATTGTTCTGCAGCTCAATCCGTCCCACAAATGTTGTACTACAAAACAGATGGAGGGAGCAACATCAGTGAAGGACACCCACCCAGACAGACGACGTTTCTGTTCGTTCCACCTTCTGAATCATCCACCATTCCGTCCTCGCACATCAGTGCTCTGCACAGTACCTGGGCCCGTCAACCATCCCATCCACCGGACCTCAAATACCACGAGCCTGCCTTGTCCCATCAGGGCACTACCTTGGTACCTAGAAATACTTGTTCTCGTCCACCTTTCCCCAGCACTCCCTGTCTCTCTTTCAGTTACCTGATTTATTTTTTTTTTGTCCCGTGGTTTTAACCCTCTCCAGCCATAATTTAGGGCTCAGAAAGGTTCACAAGGTGCATTGAGCTAAAAATGCATAAACCTGCTTTTTAAATCCCCTTTGTGCAAAGACCTTTCTGTATCTTCCATTGGACGGAGTGATTTGCTTTATTTCCATTGATTTTTCATTTCAGATGCACTTTGTAAGTATTATTTTGTGTGTATGTTCATATAATGCTGTATATGATACTTGTGTGTTTGCACAGATATTGTGTAATGCTACATATCTGTAGATGACATACAAATCTGAAGTTTTGATTGCCTCTTTCAAATTATTCTAATGATAAAGACCAACATCCAACAGTGGAAATAAAAGGATTTGAAGATATGTAAAAAAAAAAAAAAGGCTTGAATGCAGGATTTGTATGACCAAACACAGACACATACAACAAAAGAGGGGGTTTAGACAGGTTTGCTTGTCTCTTAAGGTTCCTTTAATCTTCCTTACAAACAAATATTTTGTTGTTTTTGTTGTATTCTACCTTAACAGCTGCTTTTTAGATTTGCTGCTACATTATAGTTGGCTGGAAATGGTTAAAACGATTCTTTTATTTTTTTCAATTTTGTCTTTGTCGAGGACACCAGTCGAGAAACAGCCTCAGTAAAGAACTACCAGCACAAGAACCCAACATTTGTTGACTACTTTTAGGATGTTAACTTCATAAGCTGAGAAGTCATCTTTTAACCCTTAGAAGGCTGGCATTATCAATGTCATCCTGCAGTCTCATTCTCCGGCCCTGTTTTATACACCTTTTCTGCCTCTCTTTATCTTTTATACTTCTGTTATTTTCATCCTCTTATCTGCCAAGGCTTCGTTATTTCCTGCTGCTCCTTAAGCCTCTCGCTAATAATTAATTTCTTCAGTAAAATGACAAGGTAAGGTGATCTGCGTCTGGAGCAACTATACTTGCCTGTACCTTGCAGAAGAGAAATTGAAGGACAAGTATATTTGTAGCTTTCTAAGGGTTGCTTCTGTCGAAACCCTCCATGTTGGGGGAAAGTGGTCAAATTTGGAAATGTTAGTGGTCGGGTCTATTTTAGCAGACGCTTTTTTGGTTATACAAACAACTCCACATGCTTCCCTGAGCTTTTTAAAAAAAAAATTATAACATTCACCCAAGCTACAGAATCATGTAGAGTCACATGCATGAAGCCTACTCACTCCCCGGCTAACACATGATGTTTGTTTGTTGTTTAATCGTGAGATGTGAGAGGCATACACAAAAAGTGAATGGTGACCTGAGTGCATTGCTCAGAGTGTTCACACTTTGTGTATGAATGGTCAGTATTTGAAAGTCATTGTTGTTTTCGCTGTAGCCACCAACATGTTTTGACTTGTCTCTTTTTTTCATCTCTCCACCACTGCCATATCTCTTTCTCTGTTTCTCTCTCACTTTCTCGCCTGCCCCCATATTCCTCTTCATATTCGAAATAGGTGCAGATCCCAATCCCTCAATCTACAAGTGCCATGTCTCTGGTTTCCTGCAGCACCCCATCAGCCACCTCTGCTTCTCAACAGGTAAGATCAATGTGTCTGACCAATCAGAATCATCTTTTCCCCCATTCATTAGCATGAATGAATATCCAGTACAGGCCAAGGCAAATAAACCGCTCACTTTCCACACACTCCAAGGCCTTTTTGAGTTTTATTTTTGTTTGTTTAAATCTCTCTGTATTCTCTCCTGCGTGTGAAATCTGTGGACATCAGAAGTGGCTTTCACTTACACTGTGTTGTATTTGTTTCTTATAGTATGGAGGTTACTACATCCAAGCAATCCCTTCGCAGGTAGAGAAAAAACCCATTCCTCTCTTTCTCTCTTCCTTTTTTTCTCTCTCTCTTTTTCACATTTACCTACACTTTACTTTGGAGCTCTTTGCCTTGCCGTCTTAAGTTTTGTTATTTCATTATTGCGTAATGAGCTATGTGACAAAATGTTGCTCTGTTTGAATAAGGCTTGGAAAGGAAGCTTGTCAATGTCTTAAAGTCCCAGATCAAGATCAATATGTCTATATCTATGTTGAGTTGTTCTTTGAAGGTAAGCTATTTAAAGGTGTTATTAAAGGAGTGTTCCAGGTTGAGCACTATGAACAGCATCTGTGACGTGCTGGTGGTGATTGCCACACCATAGTTTTGTCCTTCGGTTTGTAAAAGCAAAAATTTGCAGTAATGCACTTACAATGACAGTCTGTGGGGCAAGACTCTCCGGAGGGTTTCGATGCAAAAACGTGAAGCTTGTATTTTTGTAAGTGCTTATTTTAGTGGTGGAAACTCTGTTCTAGGTTAAACTCCTAGTTATGTTACGGTATTATGCTCTTGTAAAATGTTTTGCCCCATAGACTTGCATGTTAAGAACATTACTGTTAATGAAAATGTAAATGTTTTGTTTTTACAAAGTAAAGGATGAGTCAAAATTATTTAGGGCACATTGGCCTAATAGGATGAGTTTTTTTGAGTACAGACTGCATGTGATCCCAAAATTCACTTATTTTCTAAGGCTTGGAGGTTTATATGTGTGACTGTGAGCATGTGAACATTTCATGTGAAAATGCTTATTCTCTTTTTAGGCTGCTGTTCCACAACAGGTTTCTCTGGGGCAGACATTCCAACCAGGTGTCTCGTTATCCCAACAGCAAGCTCCCCAACAGCCTCCCAGCACTGTGGTTCAGAGCAGTTCCCAGACACAGGTCCAGCCCACACAGGTACAATTAAATGTGATGTAAGCAAATCAAGCTAGAAGCCAAAAATGCTGAAAAAGCCTATAATTTAATTATATTATTATTATTTTATTGTGTATTATATTATATCATACACACACACACACATATATATATATATATATATATATATATAAAGATTTTTGTTTAAGTATTATAGG